CCCGGCTTCCGGCGGCCAGTTCCCCCCACCTCCCACCAATCTCCCCTGGTCAGCCCTGCTCCCCCCCAGTGACCCCCCCCAGCCCAGCTGCCCCCGTCCAGCCCTGCTTCCCACAGCTGCTTCTCCCCTGTCCAGCCCCCCCTGCCCTCTGTCCAGCCCTGGTTCCGCCGCCTGCCCTCCCCGATTTCTGCTGGACAGCCCCACTGCCTTCAACCTTCTTCTGCCGTCTGCCCCTCCTTCCATCTCTGCGGGACAGCCCCATTACCCTCCAGCCTTGCTTCCGCCCCCCGCTAGCTCCCCATCTCCACAGGACAGTCTCGCTGCCTCCAACCCTGCTTCCGCCACCCGCCGTCCACCCACCTGGATCTCCACGGGACAGCCCTGCTACCCATAACCGTGCCGATCTTAACCTGATCATAACCTGCCCTGATCTTCGTGGGACAGCCCCACTGCCTCCAACCCTTCTTCCCGGCGGCTGGGCCCCAGCTGGTTCTCCCTTTCCCCCGCCTCCCCCTCCTCCCAGCCTGCCCCACTCTGCTCCCCTACTGGAGGCCATGCTGAGGCCCGGTATCTTTTTCCCGCGGCCTGCTACTGGGCCATGGCCCATAGTTTGGGAAATGCTGCTGCAGATATATTATGAGTTGCCCTCCTTTCTAGCTGATAGGGATGTATCAGAGGCAGCAGCATGGGGAGCAGGGGAGGGAGTGGGCCCCCTCCTCCCAGCCTGCCCCACTCTGCTCCCCTACTGGAGGCCATGCTGAGGCCCGGTATCTTTTTCCCGCGGCCTGCTACTGGGCCATGGCCCATAGTTTGGGAAATGCTGCTGCAGATATATTATGAGTTGCCCTCCTTTCTAGCTGATAGGGATGTATCAGAGGCAGCAGCATGGGGAGCAGGGGAGGGAGTGGGAGCAGGTGCTCGTGGGGAGCCAGCTTTACCCAATAAGCATCCCTAATTCTCACCCCCCCATCATGGTTCTGTAACCTCCCTCCCTCTTTCCCCCCCCCCAATAACGCAGTTTAAGTACAGTGCATTAAGGATTTATCTTATGACGTCATACATGTATAGTACTCGCTAATGGTTTGTACATACAAAAGCTTTAGTTGTAGACTTTTTGTTTACTTTCCATTATGGTGAATACCCATAGTCTGAAAAAAATCCATAATCTGGCATACTCTCTTTCCCAAGGTTGCTGAATTAAAGATGTTCACATGTATCTGCATGTCTAAAAGTTATAACACACTTCAGGGTGCCTTATCTATTTGTCTTTTGTGATTTAGGTTGCTTGCACAAATCTAGATGTGGATCTGATATGTATAAACGTAACAGAAAAGCTGCCGTTTTATTTCCGAAGACCCCCTGTTAATATGGTAAATTTGCACCTAAAATAATTTGCTGCTATTACACTTAGTATTTAATACTAACACAACTGAGATTTTTCTACTGGAGTGGTTCTTTTTGTGTTCTTGTACTACAGAGTGGTTTCTCTTTGAAGATGTTTCGTCCGCACTTTTCTGCATTATGACCAGGGCTCCACAAACTATAGAATCTACTCGCCTGTGGAGAGTAGATTTCAGCCATGTGCCCTGTTTACCAGTAGCACGCGCATGCGCAATGTGGCTCTTGCACATGCACAGTGCAGGGCTGACAAGCGGTTTTTGCCGCCGTTTGTCAAGCCCTGATTATGACTGTACAGAGGTCTCATCTGTTTAAGGCAATGCTTCACTAAGGAAAGTCAGTACCAGCCAATGGAATTGCTGAATATTTGGTATTGGATAAAATAGTAAAAACTAAGAGCCAGCTATTTATAAACTAATATTTTATAAACAAAATCCTGCCACAGAACTTAGTCGGGATACTTAGGTCACAGTCTTCCCTTGAATATAGACCATCATCCATTCCTTGTCAGTGGCAGGTACACAGGGTGGACATCCATGGGTAAAATTTAGTCTGTGTTTCTGAAAAATTTACAGTTAGAGCTGGCTGGAAACTTGAATGACTCTTTTATGGGAATAACAAAAAAATATGTTCTAGTATGGAACAAAAAATGAAATTGCTAAAATTCTCACAACAGAAATGTCAGCATCTCATTGGGGGTGAGGGAGAATCTGAAACAATATTTGTTTTGACCTCTTCAAGTGTTTGAGGCTCCCAAAGCCCTTGCAACTCTTCATGTGGGAACTGGGCTGCTCGGAGACCCTGAGGGTATGTCTTCACAGCAATGTAAGCTGGGCTCAAGCCAAATCTCCACTTGCATCTACACATCACTTGTGTTAACCTAGGGCCCCAGACCCTGCGGAACTGGAGGGTCCAAGTCCATGGTAAGCTGGGACCTATTGACCAAACACTGTTGCTTTCCTGTGTGTTCCTGGCCTCAGCTTGACTCAGATCTCTCCCGTAAAGCCCCCGGATTACAGCCCCTGTAATCCGTGTGCTTGGTTGGCCATCCAGGAGAGATTCCGATGCCACCCAGCTGATTAGCAGAGTGCCCAGAGCTGCCTTCAGCTGGCAGCATGTGTTTCTACTGGTGATACACAACTGTACATGCCTCAGTGCAAGTACCAACATTTATTCTGCACATGGATGGAAAAAATTAGAGGGAACATCGTTCTGGATAAATCCCAGAATTCCATGGGGCAACTTCCTTAGTCCTCTCTATACGAAGGGTCTATGGTGCAGTCGTTTGTACTCTACTGCATATGGAAACCACATCTTCCCATGCAAACATCAACCCATTGTCGTCTGAACGCTGGTCTGCAAGCACACGATCCGAGAGCTTGCAGGGTTTTCTGTGGAGACTGATCAGAAGAAGCTTTTTGCAAAGAGAGCTGCTTCCTGGTCATAGGAACACAGACAAATTTTGGTGCACACTGGGCACCCCTGCACATTCATCCTCAGGGGGGTCGGGGGACCTGGGATTCTGGTAACTTTGACTCAATTCTGTCCGCTGCAATGTGATTGCCAGAGTCCGAGGCTTGAGCACGGGTCAGAAAGCCCTTAATCTAGGGTTAAAATGCAGTGTAGACACTCATGCCTAGGATTTCCTGACAGGACAGCTGACAAGTCCCACTAACCTGAGACTGACATTGCTGTGTAGACATATACTTGCACAGTTCATACATAGGACTGCTGAGGTGCCGGAAGCCTTGGAGCTGCTGCTGCTGAGGAATGATTGGAGCAGGCAAGCTGGCTGGAAGTCAGTCTGGTTTCCCTGGATTTGACCAGCTCTAATGATGTTTGAAAATCTGAAGCTTGGGTACATGTGGAGGATGGGCACAGAATCTAATTGGACACATGAAATAAGATTCTTTTCAACATCTTACTGTAAAGCTTCATAACACTACTGTAATGTTGTGCAGTGAACTGACTACGGAGCCAGAAGCTTCTCAGGTGTAATTGTGGCTGTGCCACTATCTCAGCATATTGCCTTAGGCAAGTTACTTAACCTTTCTGTGTATATTTGCTTATCTCCAGAAAAGGGAATATCTGCTTCACAGAGGTCAGTCAGTGTAAATTAACAGCCTTTTGTCCTGTGTTTGTATTGCACTTAGCATAATGGAGTCAATCCATGATGGGTTCCTAGGTGCAGAAATTATAAATAATAGTAAATTGTATTACAACTTACTGCCCTTCAAAACTTGTAAAATGGTGGGGAAGATTTAATTAACTTAATTCTTCTCTCAGAATAACTTCTCCGTTAGTGAGTACAGTAAACTTCTGATAATCCGGCACCTTTAGGACCCAGGGGGTGCTGGATTATCAGATATGCCGGACTATTGGAAGGGGGGCTATGAGGGGTCTGAGGTGTGGGGGGGATGCCACCCCAGACCCATCATAATTTCATCAGCTTTCTAATACATATATTCTAATTGCAATATGGACTGTTATCGTGACCAGATGCAAACTTAAATGGAAAGCTTTTGTTGTTGTTAATAGTAGTTAAACCAGTTCAAGATCACAAGTCAGACCCCTCTCCCCCGCAACTGCAACTCATTAGTTAGAGTTCACCTTGCCCAAATGGGTTTCTAATCAAGGAAACACACAGCTATAGCAACATTAGCACCCAGACCAATCAGAACTTTTCTTTCAGTACATCAGTCTCAGTAACCCAATGGGGATTTTATTTATACACTGAAGAAGTACGGCCAACCTGGCAGCACCCCAGTTGCTCTGCCCCTGGCTTCCCCAATTCAGCTGCTGGTCAGTTTCAGCAGCGGCTGAATCGGGGAAGCTGGGCGCAGAGCAGCTCCAATTGTCCGGCTGCCCAAGCACTTCCAGGTTCCCAATGGTGCCGGACCATCAGGAGTGCCGGAGCATTGGATGCTGGACCAATGGAGTTTTACTGTACTTGAGTACAGTGGTGATGAGTGCTGGAGAAACCCTCAACTTTGGAAGGTGGTGCTCCTCAATGCCAGCTGTAAAGCGACAGGAGTGTTCTGGCAGATCTGTGCATGTGCAGATCGCCGGAACCTGGATCTTCCTGGTTGCAATCTACTTGCCACAGGCGAGTAGATTGCATTATTTGTCGAGCCCTGGTGATTAGCCTGTTCTTCTGACTTGAAACCACAACTGGCCTTCCGAAGAGAGGAAACTTTTTTTTCCTCATACTTTCTCTCGCTCTTTTGAGACTTCCAGACTTGTTCCTGCTCAACTGTGATTGTCTCTCCTCTCAGCAGTCAGAAAGCCTGTTACAGCTTGACAAGTAGAGAGGAAGAGAAGGCTTTTTATTTTAATAAGCTTCAGGTACCTGACAGTCTTAAATTCAAGTGCATTTTATATGGAGACACAGGGTCTTTATTTTCATCCTTCAGACTACGGTGTGTTTCTGTTGAAACAATTCCTGCCTCACATTAGTTTTGTATATAAAGCACTAAAACTGAGAGAGAAAACAATAATAGATATGAGTTATGAGATTATGTGATTCTGCTTTTGGTTTTTGACTATTTTCTTATAAAGCACTAAAACTGAGAGAGAAAATAATAATAGATACGAGTTATGAGATTATGTGATTATGCTTTTGGTTTTTGACTATTTTCCTTCTTTCACGTGAAGGCAATAGATCGCAGCATTTACTTTGAACTTCTTTACACCCCAGCCATCAAAGACTCCACAATGAGAAGATACACAATTTCAAATGCTCTTAGTCTGATGCAAATCTGCAAAGGAAAGGTAAGCTCTCAAACTGAAATAAAATTAATCCATTCAGTTGTTCAAATTCTTCTGGAGTTGTATTAAATGAGCAGTTGCAAGATAGTTTGATGTTGGAATGTCTGAACACATGATTGAACCTTTGTCTGCCAATATATGTAAGCTATAATTCCAGAGACAAATAGGTCTGTCTGTGGAACATCTAATATTTTCTAAGGCAGATGATTTTAAAATTGTCAAGATTTTTTTCAGAACAGTTTGTCAGTTGCTGTGGCATTCACAAAATCTTGGAGACTTAAGATTTGCACAAAAATAGATATTTGTGTATATTCTTAAACATACATAATGAATTTGTAAATGACAAAAAGCATGTCATGTAAACTTATCATAACTTATATGCAAGATCCTGTATTTAAACTATTTTATATTTAAATAAATTGAGAGCATCACTAAAGTCCTATTACATTAAAAAATCCATATTTTTGGCTGGCCACAGGTCAGGTTTCTGGCCGAAATAGTTCTGTCCTATATTCTACCTTCCTTCTGAAACTGAGGAATGAAAAAAGCCTTGTATCTGAAGACCTCCATGTCGCTCCTCTTCCTATGTTGCATCCCACCCAGGGCAACCTGTTAATCATGGTGAGGCTCACATCTCGTGCATATCAGCAAATCAGACTCCCCATCCACCAGTCCTCAGTAGAGAGCTTTCTCTTTCCTTTCTCTGTGGAGATGTGATAGATAGCACCACCCTCTGAATCTTTCTTCTTGGCCTACCAAGCTTGTGTGCTTCAGCACTGGGCAGGGACCTGTCTCTAGCTAAGGGGAGTTAGGCTGTTGCTACCTCCTGGACTTGGCTGGTTTTTTCCTTCCTGCTCAGTTTACTTAATAGCAAGGAAGAGCTGAGAGAAACAGCCAGGCAATTCTTTGTGGTGTCCCCACCTTCAAACTGGGGATAGGGGTTGATCCAGTGGGCTCCCAGAACCAGTGTGAGAGAGTAGATCAGTGTTTCTCCAGTGCAGCCACCAAGAGTTTTTCTTGCCGCTGCAGCCTGCCAGATAGTGATTGCGGGTGGAGGGATAGGGAAAGCATCTGCCCTTCCCTGGAACTGCTAGGAGAGATTGGGCCCTGCCCTCTCTTGGAGCCACAAAAGCTGGAAAAGTAGACAGCTGGGGTAAATTCCCCACCTTCCTGGGGCCATGGGTCGTAGATTTCTGGCTTTGATCCTGGGTTGACAGGTGGTAAGCCCCGGCCACGTGGTAGCAGGCTTCAGTCAGGGTCTCTGACCTTGGGGATTGAGGCTTCAGGCCCAGCAGGCTCCATCCCCTAGTCACAGGGCTTCATACTCACCCCCGCACCCCCATCCCTGCTGCTGTACTAAGCCTCTCACCCATTTACCCCGGCCCTTGCTGCCTCCCTACCCATCTCCTTATTCAAGGTTTAATTTGAACCCTGGCTTGATAGGGCTGAGTATATCTGCTGTGAAAAGTGATATTTGTATATTTGTTAATGTCATTTTCACTGCCTCCCAGTCTGCTGCTGTGAAAAATATTAAACATATAAATGTCAGTTTTCACAGAAGCTGACTTGCTAGCTAGCAAGTCATTTTAAAAAGCTACCAAAAAACCAAAAGAAACAACAAAAGATTAATATACAAAGCTCCTTATTTGTGTTTCTATTCTGTTTAGGTCTAGTAAAGAATACAGACAACTGTATGTTATTATTGAGTCTGCAAAAAATTCCTACATAAATAAATTACTATGATTTGGACATGCATGCATGCATATTTATTTGTTTTTCTTAATTAGTTATTTTAGGAAACCATTTTCATAGCAGCCACCATCAAGAGTTGGTGACTTCACTTTGAAGCCACCACAAATGTGTTGTAAGAACCACATAGATGTTGATATTGATAGCAGTCAGTATTAGCAGAGAGAAGTCAGTGGATGATATAAATGGGTTCTCACCATCTGACTAAAGACTAGCTATTTTAGCCAGTGTAATTGTTAATAGTGGTCAAAATGTGCTGCAGATTTGATTTCTGCATTGCTAAATTAATACTATTAGAATTGGGTTGTTTTTTCAACCTCCATCAAAAACTCTTTAAAAAAATCCAGCTTTCAAAACAAGTGAAGGATTTTGTTTGATGAAGGATTTTTTCATGTCTGTGGGTAATGGTTTGCAACTAAGGATACATCACAGCAATTGCACACCCGCAGCTGGCCTGCATCAGCTGATTTGGGATTGGGCTACAAGGTTGTGAAGTTATGTAGACATTCAGCCTCAGGTATGGGACCTAGAGACTGAGGAGGATCTGAGAGTTTGGGCTGCAGCCAAAGCCTAGACAGCTGCACAGCAATTTCACAGCCTTTCAGCCTAAGCCTTATGAACCTAAGAGAGCTGGCTCAGGCCAGATGCGGCTATGGCAGAGGTCTTTTATTACAATATAGATGGAATAAGTGTAATTGTGATGCTCTGTTTTCACATAGACTCTTGACCCAGCAAGGTCTGCAATGTATACAGAGTTGGTTTATTGTTTCCAGAGATCTGTAATCCACAATCTTTGTGGATTTGCCTGTTTCAGAAAGCAGCAGATAGTATTTCTAAATAGGGTCAACAGAATTAACTCTTAACTTCAAATGATACTCATAGCAGTATTAGTGTTCAGTTTATGTAAATCTTCTCTTTATTAATAACATTTATCTAAGATTAATGCTGCTTCTCCTTTATTATCTAGAACATAATTATATCTAGTGCAGCTGAAAGGGTAAGTCAATTATTTTTAGTGTAAATAAATTGCTTGAGAATTTCTGCTAGAAACATAAGCATCATTATAGTTACCCTTTTGAATTTTTTCTTTTGGGTCTTCTGTATCACTTTATTGTTGAATTTTTTTATTTCTGCTAATGGAAGTAAGTACTTCCTGTTTCCATTAGTGATAGTAATTGTCTTGCTCTCATGCTAGCATCTCTAGCAACTCAGGAACCCATGTCTATATGAAATTTAAAGTTAATGGCTGATAGTTTCTGTAAATAAGATTATTTTATAAACTGTGACTCTAAAATACATTAAAGGTGTGTGTGTGTGTGTGTGTGTGTGTGTGTGTGTGTGTAGATATCCACAATTGTGTCTTCTGTTGTAGCCTTTGGAACTTCGAGGTCCATACGATGTGGCTAATCTGTATCCTTTTCCCAAGTAAAATCTGACGTTTAAGAATATTGTAGGAAATTTGCAGTTCACTTTAAACATTTTATATTGTGATACAAATATTCCTATGCCTTTCTCTCCCCCAGTCTCCAGACCTTTTTTAAAAATTGAGAATGACATCCTTGGTAGAGTACATCATGATTGTGACAGAACTCATGTCAGCAGTAAGATTGTTTGCATTATTAATTTCAGAACAAAATTCATACTTTAGAAATACAGAAATGATTCCAGTATATGTCCCCAATTGCAGTGCTGAATAAGACAAGTTATAAAACAAAACCTTTCAGTGAAAAGATGAGGTACGATCCACAGATAACAACTCTAATTTGTTTTGACTTCAGTAGGAGTGTTTGTCACTTGGAGAATGTGGGTGTGTATACACCTGCTATATTTCACTCCATGAGACCAGTTGAAGAGTTCCTTCCTGAATCAGGACTTTGAATGGTCTCGGGAGAGTGGCAAACTTGTATTATTCCATGTTGAAAGTAGATCCCAGTGTCCTTTTTTCCCCAAATGAGGATTCCTCTCTTTCCCAAAGCTTTAAAATATTCTGTAAGATGGAAATTCCATGTTCTGGCCAACTGTGGTCCCCTTAACAATGCCCTACTAAGCAATGTTTCAAACCATGTTAGATGAAATAGCATTTAAACATGGTTTCCTAACTTCATTGAAAGGTTAGTCTGGATGGAGACAAGTCTGGGAAAGAATATTCAACAGGTCTGAGGGTTCTGTCCTCAAAAGGGAATAGGTTTTTCGGCTTAAGGCCTGATCCAGCCTTGCTTTGGACCTGATCCAACAGCAGAATCAATAGAATGTTGACAATGTAAGAACTTCCATTAGCTTCATTGGGCATCGAATCAGATCCTCGTTACTTTGAGTCACCCATACAATAGTACTACTCTTTGGGTTACTTTATGCAAGATCTTCAGAGGGGTACCCAAGTTAGTCTGTAACAGGAAGAACTTAAAAAACAACAAATAGTCTAGTAGCACCTTAAAGACGAACAAAACATGTAGATGGTATCCTGAGCTTTCATGGGCACAACCCACTCCTTCAGATGACAGCAAGATGTCAGTCTGAATTGCAGCTTTCATAGTTCCCAGTTACTTGTTATTTGACCAGATTACCCCGGGGAAAGAACTGCTTAATTTGTTCACTCCTTTTTGTACACTGAGCTCCTTAACAAGGGTGACAGAGGTTTGTTGTTCGGTTTGTCTGAAAGTGACGCCAAGGCAGCTGTTTCTACCAACTGCAGAGCAGTCCTCCTTCATGGTGGTGAGTGAAAAGCACAGTTATCTTCTGTTTCACATTAACTTACTCTGACATTTATTTTCCAAATGGTGTTGGCCCTTCTCTTAAAGGAAGAGTCATCTTCGATGCTACTGGATCAACTCGGCAGCCCAGCTGCTCTGCCCCAGGCGTCCCCAAGTCAGCCACTGCTGAAAATGACCAGTGGCTGACTCCAGGAAGCCCGGGGCAGAGCAGCTCTGCCCCCGGCTTCCCCAATTCAGCCGCTGGTCAGTTTCAGCAGCGGCTGAATCGGGGAAGCCGGGAGCAGAGCAGCTCCAATGGTCTGGCTGCCCGGAGCACTTCCAAGTTCCTGATGGTGCCAGACCATCAGGGGTGCTGGACCATCAGATGCCAGACGAATGGAGTTTTACTGTATGTCGTCATTTAACAATAGTCTGAAGATAATTTGTCTCTTCTCTACTGCGGTGGAAATCAAGTTTCCAATTGTATTATATGCTACATTCACTGATGCATAAAGATGAATAAGTCTCCATGCCTTATATCAATTTCAACAACCTACTTTCTCTGGTAGTCACTTTGCAGTGTGCCACTGATTTCTCTTCTTCCTTCTTGACCAAAAAACTCTGTCACCTCTTAAAAACTTGTTGTTTTAATTTGTTTACTCTAGTTTAAAATCTCTTTCATTGTAAGAGAGGCCTGCTGAGTGTACCATAGGATGGCAATAAGCCGTGTGAATGATTAGTCATTTATGACCACAGAAATAATTTAATACCAGATCTAAGTTGCTGTCTATGCATTGAACACATCTGTGTATAGACCTGAACCTCTTAGCACAAAACAGGTGGGACCTGTACCTCTTGTAACTGACAGGTTTGATTTCATGTGTAAATCTCAGCCTATTCACTGAGAGCCCATATCCTCCTGCTAATCTGCAGTGACAGTATGGTGTAGAAACAACCTTGCAAAACTGGTATGAAAACTGCATTGCTCTGATACAAAACGTACTTGTTCTCCTTTTACCAGGATGTTGAAAAGAAGGTATTTTATTTACTTGCCCCCCAAAAAGTGCCCAGGATGAGTGAGCAGTTATTTTACAGGGTAGTTTTTGTCCCTGATACAATACATGTATATAGGAATATTTTTTTCTATCCAACATGTAGAGGAGCATCTTTCCCGTTAGCATTGGTGAAAATCGCATGTATGTCTTGGGGGTGGGGGAAGACTAGAATACTTTTCAAGTGATGGTAACTTTATTATAATTGCCAATATCAGTTTAATCCTTTGGTAAAGTGCTTTAGAATAGACTGAAATGTTCTAACTGGATACGGGTAGGTTAAAGGACTATGCCAAAGAGGGTAACACTCAAATCTGTGTTATACCATTGCTTTTAATTCTTCAGAGTTATGATGCCCCCAAGTCAGATTTTTTTAAAGGGCTACTTATTGTAAAGGCCTGAACTGATCCTGAGGTAAAATGTAACAATGAATTCCAATTTTTAAACATCCATTCTAAAGAATGTAAAGTAACTTAAAGAACAAGACATTTTGTTCAAAAGTGCTGAGCATTTTCAAATGCACTGGAGAAAATGTTACATCTTCCAAAATACAACACGTGTATCCATTCACTGTGGTTGGGCTATCTGCAAGGCATTTTCACATGGTATACAAGTAAGATTTCAGGAGAGGAAAGTAAAGCCTAAACTTTCATCTAGTTGCTTTTTATAGCTTGGTGAGTTTAAAACACTGTGGCTGTGTTAAGTCTGTTCTGCTTTTGATCTTAAGGGCTTGTAAATAAAATCACATTTTGTAACCCTAACAGCTAACTGCCTTATGTAGCAATTGAGTAGTAGCGTTCTTCTAAACCAATTAACCTGCCACTACACTGATAGATTCAAAGATTAGAACCATTGTGATCACTAGTCTGACCTCCTTTATAATACAAAATAATTCCTATACAAAAAGTCCAGTATTGATTTGAAAATTGTCAGTGATGGAGAATCCACCATGATCTTTGGTAATTCTTTCTAGTGGTTGGTTAATCTGTGTTAAACATTTATGCCATATTTCCAATCTTAATCTGTCTAGCTTCATCTTCAAGCTCTTAGATCATGTCATAACTTTCTTTACTAGACTGAACATCCCATTTTTTGGTACTTGCAGACTGTAATTCTGTCACTTTGTGGAGTTAAATAGATTGAACTCCTGGAGTCTGTCCGTGTAAGGCAAGTTTTCTAATCCTTTCATTATTCTAATGTCTCTTCTCTGAATGGCTCAGATTTTTCAATATCGTTCTTAAATTCTATTCTAGCTTTTAATCAAAATAGTGTACAGCACCAAGTCAAACGCCTTACAGAAGTCTAAATATATTACAGTAATGCTATTACCTTTATCAACCAAACTTAATCTCTTTTAAAAAATAATTATAAAAAGCTGTGTTAGTTTCACAGGACCTATTTTGCATAAAACTATGATGATTTGCATTAATTAGATTATTATACTTTATTAATCAAGTGCCATGCCAGCCACTCTATTATCAATTATCAGTGTCAGTCTGACAAACCTGCAGTTATCCAGGTTACCCTGTTCATCCTTTTTTACATACTGGGACAACATTAGCTTTCTTCCAGTCTTCTCCAGTGTTCCATTACTATTGAACATCAACAATAAGAGGCCAGTGAGCTCCTCAGCCAGCTCTTCTAAAATTTTGGATACAAGTTATCTGGGTTACTGATTTAAAAAGGGCTAACTTTAGTAGCTGCTGTTTAACTTCCTCCTGAGATGCTAGAGGAATGGAACGTGTGCTACTATATGTTGACATTAGTATCGTTTGTTTATTTTCCAAAATACAGGACAGAAATATTAATTTAATACTTCACTATTATTGATAATTCTCTCTCTTCTGTCTATGGATATTAAAATGGTTAACTGGTTAAATGCCAATGTTTTAACCCATCAACCATTTAATTTAGGGCGTGCTTCCTGGTCCTGCCAGCCCTTCTACAGCTGGGCCAGTTCTGATGCAGTGTGACCTCCAGAATTCACTAGCAAGGGCTGATTAACCAGTTAACCAGTAAGCATACTGGAAAGCCTCATGCTTATTAGTGTGCTTACCAGTTAATTTTTTAACATCTCTACTTCTGTCTACCAATGGACCAATACCATTGTCAGGATTCTTTTTGATCCTAATATACTTCAATTCCGTATTGTCCTTAACTCTTCCAGAAGTAGCTCTTTCCTTGTGTCCCTTTGCTCCCTTATCAATCTTTTACAATTTCTAACTTCTGTATATTCATTACTGTCAACTTCCCTGGTTTTTTATTTATGTACAGTAAAATTCCAGTTGTCCGGCATCCAGTGGTCCGGCACTCCCGATAGTGCTCTGGCCAGCTGGACAATTGGAGCTGCTACACGCCGCTTCCCCAAGTCCGCTGCTGCCGCTGCTGAAACTGACCAGTGGCGGACTTGGGCAAAAGGAGCAGAGCATCTGGGGTGCTGCTGAGTTGGTCCCGCAGCACCGCCCTTTACCGCCCAGCAGCACCTCAGCTGCTCTGCTCTGTGCTGCTTCTGCTGCTGAAAATGACGAGCGGCGGGCTTGGGGAAGTCGCGGGTAGAGCAGCTGGGATGCTGCCAGGTTGGTCCTGCAGTGCCGCTCAGATGAGGGGCAGCGCTGCGGGACCAACACAGCAGCACCCCAGCTGCTCTGCCCCACCGCTTCCCCAAGTCGCTGCTGCCGCTTGCAGCCCCAGCTGGCCTGTTGCCGGCTGCTGCATGGCAGAGAGTTTGCCCCACATTGCGCTGTTCCCCGCCGCCCCAAGACCCCTCATAGCCCCCCTTCCATAGTATCTCCTGATACTCTGGCATATCCGATAATCCAGCACCCCCTGGGTCCCAAAGGTGCTGGATTATCGGAAGTTATAATAGCATGTTGTTGGGTAAGGTGCTGGATTATCGGAAGTTTACTGTAATAGCATGTTGTTGGGGTTTTTTTTAATTGTTTCCATTTTCTCTGTAAACCATTTTTAAACAATGTGGCCACCTTCCTTGACTGTGTTTCTTTGGGCAGTTAATAAAATTAACAGAATTAGTATAGGGTTTATTTATGGTGCTACTGTTGTAACTGAGTGCTAATTGATTAATGCAAAGTCACACTGCTGCTACTTAAAACTATTTACAAGTCTGGGTAGAACTGTTTTTACATCTACAGTATTAAGCTGAAACAAATCCACTTGATTTTTTTTTTTGACCAGTTGTCCAATTTATAAGGTAATTTTAAGTAGGTTTAGCAGTTTTAGTTGCGTCTGTTCTATCAAGAAATTCTAAAGGCCTTGTTAGTCTTTCAAGATAATCTTTTTCCTTTTAAAAAAAAATTTCATTAGTATTGGGCATGTCAAATATGATGTTCCCTGGTTTTGCTGGAGCATCTCTTGAGGTGGAAGGACATGCAAATGACTATTGTGAGATTACACACCTTATCTGAGAGGAAGTGGGATGGCAAATGTTTAACAAAAGTATCCTTAATCTAAAATGTTAATTAGTTCATTGATGGTAGCTAAAGCAAAACAGAGTTTTAAACAAGTTATGATAATCTTAGTAGTTCAACTTTGTTTTCGGACTCTTGTAAAGTCATAGTCTAATAGTTCTCTAATTGATGTAGTTTCCAGGCTGGCTCTGAATTTCTGTCTTTTAATATCTGTTTTAAGAAAGTACAAACCCAACTTTTTTCAAGGCACAAACCCACTTTCCTCTCTTCCTTTACAGGGACTAATCTCTATCCTCTGTTGATATCTTGTAGCCTCCGAAATCACGTGCTTACAAGAATCTGAAAGCTATATTTGCCCTTTATCTATTCTGTGTCAAGAGTTCCTGTGTGTTCTTCATTCAGGATATCAAGAATTGGTTCTATAGAATATACAAGATACAGATAGTGTCCTGCCTAATATTGGTGACCCTTCCAGGGTTTATGTGCCTTATAACTGATTGGTGTAAGTCACTGCTTATACCTATGCAGCACACCTACAGTTAGGCTACATCTATACTGGTGGCTTCTTGCTCAAGAACTCTTTTGTGGAAAAGTTCTTGTGCAAAAACTCTTCCACAAGAGAGGGTCTACACTGCCATGTGTTTTTGGCAAGAGATGTGCTTTTACGCAAGAGCATCCATGGCAGTGTAGATGCTCTCTTGCGCAAGAAAGCTCTGATGGCCATTTTAACCATAGGGGCTTCTTGTGCAAGAAATTCATGTTGCCTGTCTACACTGGCCTATTCTGGAAGAGCTCTTGTGCAAGAAAGCTCGTGGGGAGAGGAATAACTCTTCCAGAAGAAGCTCTGTTTTACAACGCTCTACTGTAAATTTACTTCTGGAGGAACGCTCGTGCAGTGTAAACAGCCGGCAAGTTTTTGCAGAAGAACGGCTGTTCTTGCGCAGGAAGCTGCCAGTGTAGACGTAGCCTTAGGGTTTACACTGGAACAACTGCACCAATAACCAACTTTAAACCATTCCCACTTCTTGTGCGCACAAGAGGGGAATGGCATGAACAGAGGAATGGCAGCAAATTCACTTGCATGAATCAGGATAAGCAAATGAACAGGCATCCTATTCTTGGGTATTTAACTTCTGGCTTCACTTCTGTTTTGATTCCCTGTTGCCTGCGGAGTCTTCAGATGGCAAAAGTCAAAATAATTATTCCTGGAGAAGAGTAGCTGGGTGCCAGAGGGACGGGGGGGAGGGAGGCGGCGGAGAAGGGAAGACAGGGAATGAATGTAAGTAGAATGCAATTTGTAATGTTGGAAATATACAGGAATCTGTCATCCAAAAATCTAAGCATTTGGGAGTTTCCTCAGGAAAGGAGTAATCCAGAAGCCCCTGCAAATCTGGATGAAGTGACCTTGTTAGCACTTGGTTACCCATTTCTGTGGGATAAAACAGAAGACTGAAATAAGTAATCTTTTGAATATGAACCAGTTTTCTCAGGTTTCTTTGATGTCTTTTTAAATGTGCTTGAGCACACTCATTTTACTGCTTTATAGTTGTGTGAAATGCACAGGCCACTACCTTAGAGAGCAAAAGTGATGCAATGCCACATGAAAACAGGGAATTTGGGATTGGAAGCATGAGGCAATCTTGGATTATCTCCCTTATGATCTAGACAAGAGAACACAAATTGGACATATTTGCATCCATTGCTTTGTTGCAGCATTATGTCTGTGCAGGAGATGAAGAAGTAAAGTGTTAGGCAGATGTGCAGAGACAGACTGAAATGAGCAGTTAAAATATTAGTATTACTTTTACTTGAACTGTTTTAAACTTTGATTTTTTGTCCATTTTTGAATTCCAGAAACCAGAAAGACTGCCTTTGGGGTGGTATACACCAAGAAAAAACCCCGAGCTGCAGAGGAGGAAGGAGTTCTCCCAGTTTGCAAGAAAGCCAAAACTGAAGTATGAGGCTCAAACCCAACTTCTCAGCTTCCACAAAGTCCTTTCGTTCCATGCCACCCATCCAGCAATTCCTTGTTTCACTATTTTAATTTTTCTTTTAATTAAAGAAACTTCTAAGTTCATGCGAGAATAAGGATGTTGAAATCCATAACAAATCATTATGATATGGTGAAATTCCTGCTAATGGCAAAAGAATAATGTATGATGGCTTTGCCACTGTTGTTAGGCAGTATCCATAATCTTCTAACTGGCATAAGAAAAATAATTGCATGGTGCAGAATAGCATTGCCTATTTTTATTTCATCATGATTGCCTGCTGAAATGGAGATTGTGGCATCTTTGAATTGCAAGGAAATCCCCTCTCAGTTATTTATATTGCAGTAGCTCCTACTCCCTTCAGTCTGTTATGTTAGACAGGATACAAAGATATAATTAAAAGACCGTCCTTACCCAGAAGAGTTTAAAATCAAAATATAATATGAGAGACAAAAGCTAGTTACAGTAGAACCTAAGTATCACTAATATGTGTGAGATCAGTGTGACAAGCAGTGGTCACAGCATGCCAGCTGTCTAACCCTAGGTCTAAGTAATCTTAGACAAATGAAACTTGCATTAGGGTTTATGTTCTCCAGCAAGAGCATCTATTCTGTTACCACTTTCTTTCCCCCTCCCCACTTTCTACCTCAATGCATATAATCCAGCTGCCTACAAATTATAATCAACTCCCTCCTGCAAAATGCTAAGTGCTCTTCAAAGCCTTGATTAATGCTTTTCTTTTGATGATGAGCTAATATGAAAGAGGGATAAGAGACAGGGATATGATAGCTGTATCATAAACTATAACAATTTCAGCCCCAAGGCCACCTCTGGAAGTAAGCCGAGGATGCTAATTACAAGGCAAATCTCAACAGCTGGACTTGGCCCCATATGGAGTTTTGCTTTAGAATACATGAACCCTTTTAGAAATGGAGTGCATTAGTCACAAGGAGCTTCTACTTTGATACTGGTCCAGTGCAATTTATGCCTTTGGTGCCATTGACTTCCTTGAACTTTGTTCCTGATCTGCATCTTGTTGTTTTTCAGTCATTGGGTATCATTACATTAATTTGTCCTGTCGAGATTCATAAACAAGGTCCTGACATTCTGGCTGAAACAAAGGGAAGATTAAATCCAGCTGACTTCTAAATACAGGAGTGGCACTGCTTTCTCTTGCCATGGCCAGAAATGGACTTACCTTGAGTGAGAGAAATTGCTTGCTGAGTGATGCATAGAGAGAGACTTGTGAACATGGAGCAAGCAGCATGGTGATCTTGCTTGCTATTTGTTTAACATCAGTTTGAAGTTGAAGATAACCTTGCTAACTGTTTTATCTCCCTCCTTCCCAAGCACTGACAAAATAGTAAGAGACACAACATTTAATTCTTTAAATAATTTGTTTCTCGCTCGCCTCTGATGCGTGGACAATATAAATATTTAAGTAGAAATGCAGACAAAAGAAAAATCCACAGCCTGTTGCATGTCCTATTTCTAGCAAGTTCTGTTCCTAGCTCTCATAAACACTGAGCTGGTCTGTTGCACAGAAGAGAGGTGAAGCTGCAGTACGGGGGTGGTGGGTAGTGACAGGGATCTACTACAATTCAACAAAAAGCAACCCATTATTAATTCCCAGCATTTACAGAGATTCTTGCACTTGCATTTAGTGAGCTGGATTAATTAGGAGACGCTTTGGAAAACACTTGTCTGGGACGAGGATGATTTGTTTCATCCATCATGATAGGTGGCTGCTAAAGAATTCTGTAGGTTCTGCTGCTTTATGGATGGATCACATCTATGCTTTTATTATTACGTTTGGTTATAAGCACATCTTTGTAATAAAATATTCATACACTCTGCCAAAGTCTAAATATAATTAAATGTTTTGAATGACTGTCTGTACCTCCTCGTGCAGTGGTGTATCACCAGGACTTGATATGAGGTTTCCTTCTAATGTTTGTTAGCTAAAGTCTGACTCAACTGTGGAGGGTAGGAGACTGTAGACTGTGAAGCAGTGGTAGGGTAGCTCTCTTATTTGAAAGGTTGTGACACTGACGTGGTTTTTATTAAATGCAGTGTAAGCCCACAATAACATTAAAAGAGCCAGAACTCCTACCTGGTGCATCCAGGGATTAGAGTAAGGGAGACCAGGGTAAAATACAGCTTCCACTAAAAGCTGGAGAGTAGGGCTGTCCCCAGTAATTCTGGTGCCTCACACAGCCCACCACCAGCACTTCTCCTTGCTGTAGGGAAGCAGGAGGTTGCCAGCTTTACCAGACCAGCTGGACTGGATGCCATTTGCATCCGAGGGATGATAGGGGAGCGGAGGCAGACTAAATTCCCCCATTTTCCCACTGCAGCCTGCACTCCCACCACTTACTGATTGCTGCCTGTTGAGAGCAGCAGCTGGGTGCAGCCTGCAGGGACCCAGCTGGGGCTGGCAATTGGAGGGAGGAAGGTTGGTTGGGGGCTGCTGGAGCCCTGGCATTGAACTCATGGAGGGGGGGCAGCTAGGAGATGAAGCCGTCTCTGCCTGTGGCTGTTTAACATCCCGTCTCTAGTACACTGCCCCACATTTAGTGGTGCCCTATGCAGCAGTCTGTGCCTAAGGATGGCCCTGGCAAAGGGAGAGCTGCTCTTCCTCTCCCAGCATGGGCGAGTGCAAGTACAGTTCCCTCTTCCTAGGCTATTGCTGTTCAAACTTCCCATCCTGTTTGGCTTTGCTTTAGCTACTGCTTAGCAGAGGAGCTGGTGCCTGCTCAAACTGATCAAAACAGAATTTTTACATCTAGTATAGACCACTCTGCCTAACATTTTTTAAATACAGAAATGAAATTAAAAAGGCATTTAATAATGGAGAGACATCCTGCTTCCGCGCAGGTAGCTCCAGGTAGACAAGTAGCTTTATGAAGAAACCACATCTCATCATTTAGCTAAGAGAGGCAAAGAAGCAGATTGTCTGGTAGTTTCCTGTTGCTTCAGCCACACACCTTCTTGATCTGGCAGAATACACGCAGATCAAAAGAGCAACACCGTTTATTAAATTTTAAATAAGATCAATACAAAATGTACATAAAAAACAGTGCACATGTACAAATATACATCTGTCTTTCCTTAGATCACTATATACCAGCTTGCCAGAGGTGCATGTTCCTTCTCTATCATCCTCTTACCTTTAAAACATTGTTTGACCCAGCAACCAAACAATTACTTATTGTTTGACCTGGGCTTCTTTATCAACAGCTAAAACAACACAAGTCCAATTATTGAACCATTCCTTTAATTCCACTTGACATCTTAGTAAACCTTCCATTGCTTTCTACTGTCTTCCACATATCACCACTCAGTTTTACCTGCTTATTCTAATACTGAGAGTTAACAGTGACAGGTCAACAATGACATGTTAGCTAATTAGGCCTTTTGATAGACTTAGCAAGGGTACACTTGGACTGTTGACTAAGATAAGGCCAAGGAGGGTGTTAATGTTACTGATTCAGGTTGCCACAAATCGTAACTGTAGCTCTCTGTATAAAACCAAAGGTAACATGACTTCTTGTCAAAGATCAACAATAATCATTTAAATTACTAACAAAATAAATAAAGCAACTTTAAACCAATGGAATTTTAACACAAACTGCTTTAAATATCTGAATCTTTGTTCCGGAGTATTCCTAGCAGGGCAGCTACAAATACTCCAGTAAGATAAGCAGTTTTTCTTCCATAAAAGTATCATGTTCAGTGCAATTTTTCTTGAGGTTTCTTGGTGCCTTGAAACTGCTGAAGAGAAGATGACTTTTCTCTGTGCAAGTAATTTTTCTCTCTTCAGAATTTGTTTACATGGGAGTTCTTGTGGGACTTCTCTTTAAGGCTACTGAATATCTCTTTGGTGCCATTTTGCCACTGAAGAACGAGATCCATAGGGGTTTTCTCTACCTATTCAAAAGAATGAAGGGAACCGGGTTTAATTTCAGTTGATTTTTTCCCCCCAAATTGTTAATTGCAAAAAAAAAAATTAATGATGACAATAGAGGTTACTTTCCACCATGGCTTTGGAAATATTTTTCCCTGATTTTGTGTGCAGAGATAAACTAATTTGCTTTATTTTAATAACTGGTTACACACATCTCTGTATTACTCCATAATTGCTATTGATAGAATTGCCAAATACAAAATGTCAGTTTGGGGCTTCTTAAATTATTCTTAGTAACCTAACCTAAGCAGAACTTTAATTGTGATATAGCCAAAACCAGCCATCAGCTGTGGGATGACTAGCTTAGTAGGACAGATTTTGTTTTAGGGGCTAAAGGCCAGTTTCAGTTTCAGTGATGTTTAAACTACTACAAACACAGTCAGGTGCAACAGGTTGTAACAAAGAATTGCTCCAAAAGAATATAATCTCTGATTTTTTTCTTAAAATAGGTCACCTGGGTAGATTTAAGGTGGGATATAATTTTAAATCAGAGCTGTATAATTTTTTATTTTTTTTACTTTTCAAAAATGCACTGAAAGTTTTTAATGAAACAGAAAACACGTTTCTTTGTTTTATTTTATAATCTTATTAAAGAGGTTAGAATAGATATCACAATGGTCCCTTCTGGCCTACAGGCCTATGAAAATGTTATGATGGGGGGAGTCTGTACTAGTCTTACTTACGCAGTTCTTTATGTGTAGATTTGCTCCATACATAATCAGGAGTCTAATCATTTTATAACGATTCAGCCTCACTGCATCATGCATTGGTGTATCTCCCTCCTAAAATAAACAAAACGAGACTGATTGCTGGCTTAGATTCTGCAGTACTTGCCCATCGTTCAAGGCTGCCCACAAAAGTACACAGTAATTTTACAATCAACTGGAATTATAAAGGCATCTGTCAGCTAGATGCTAGATTATAATTGAGAGGTAGCCTCTGTGTTAAGTATAATATGTAATTTACTTACTCTGTCTTTGGCATTGAGGTCTGCTTCACAGGCAATGAGGTGCTCAGCACATTCATACTGACCCGTCCTCACAGCTACGTGCAAAGGTGTACTGAGCAGCTATTTGAAATGGGAAGAGAAAACAATCAACACAAAATAATCAAATCTGATTCAGAGCCAGTACGTGGAGAACAGCTGTCAAAATAATGGATGGAAGATCAATTTTTCACATCCTGCGTAAAAGGCCATAGAAGAACATACCTTGTCTCTGGCGTTTCTGTTTATTCCTTTGTTTAGCAGGAATTTAAGAACTTCCAGGCTTCCTCCACGACATGCCCAGTGAAGCGCAGTAGAGTCAAGCTATAACCAGAAAATAATTGAACTCAATGTCAAAAACCCACAAAATTAAACAATTGCACTAAAATATTTAAAATTAATAAATTATTTTGTTTTTAATTCAGTATGACTGAAATCAAAGTACTGCAAGTCAGTGATCATTGAGCTGTGGCTTTTAGCAGCTTTTCTTATTTGTCCCCGCTGTCTATAGTCCTGCTGATTCGTCCTCCTCCACAAGCATTGCATATTGTACTTAAAGGCAGTGGGATCTGTCAGTGCTGCCATATCAGAGGGTGTCTGGGCCAGATGATTATATGGGTTACTTGATGATTGTAACTAGGGTTGCCAGATGGTTGAAACAAAAATACCGAACACCGAAAGGGGGGGGAAAACCAAAGTTGTTGAGGGGAAAAAAAAAGGACTCCAAGACTTAAGCCAAAAAAAAAAATTGATCATACAACAGCATTAGAACCCCTTTAGGAGTGAGTGCAGGGAGAGAAACGGGAGCGGTTGAGCACTAAGACCCACGGGAGTTATTGCTTCCCCTTGGTCTTTTGCCAGCAGCCTTGCGGAACCAGGTAAGCATGGGGTCGGGAGGCTGGGGGTGCTGGGAGCCAGGGAGGGGGGGCGCTGAGTGTTTGTAGGGTTGCCAGGTGCCCGGCATTTTCGCCTCGTGGCTGGGGAAAAATCAGAAAATACCGGACATCTTAGGTGTCTGGTATTTTCTGAATTTTTTTTACTAGACAGGAGGTGAAAATACCGGACTGTCCCAGTGAATACCAGCCACCTGGCAACCAAATTAACATACCTTAAACCTACACTAAAACAGTTCTAGCCCAAGCAACTTTATTTTGCTATAGATTCACTTAAAACAAGAGGGCCAAAAATTTTCAAACGTGGCTGCCTATATGGAGCCCCCCCTTTAATTTTAAACTATCCCATTCTTTCAAAGATATCCTTCATCCATGAATCCCAGTGAACCCCTTGCAAGTGATGAGTGATCAGCAATTTTAAAAATTAGGCTGCTTGTGTTTGAGTGCCTGTTATGGGTTTAGAAACCGAACTGTGGGCAACTAAAAGCATGGTGTTCAGTTTTTGATGTCTAGCGATAATTTTTTACTCTATTTTAATGCCTTTAGGCTACAAAATATAAGAAAAACAAGGTGCAGTGTAAAGAACTATTCTCTGTTCCAAGCTCTTCTGCAGAGGGGGAAGAGAGTCCCTCCTACTTCCCAGGATTCCTCCAGCCTGCCCCTTAGAATTCCTTCCTTTTCCTTCATCCCTTCTACATCTCCCACCTCCAGACGCTATTAAGTGAGGCTCCTCTCAGCCCTGCTAAGTAGCAGGAGTGGAGAGGAACAGAAGCAGCAGCAAATGTTGTTGCTACTCGACTCCAGTTTAGATCAGCATTCTAGAAGAGCAGCACCCTCCCTTCTACTCAGGGCTGAAATCCCAGCCCTGGCATTAGGGTCTGTATTGCAATGCATTCATGCACAGTGGATGAGGATGTGGCATCTCTACCATTTTCTAGAGGTGACAGGCCTGGAGTGGTGTCCTGACCTCAGGTAACATGCTACTACTCTTTGCTATGCTTCTTTGGGCTTTGCTCAGGCTCTTTGCTAAACAAGCAACACAAGATATGCTGGGCGGTCTTTTTCTCATTCTCATTCCTCCAGCAGCCATACTGGGGTGGGTGCAGAAGGAGGGGCAGGCACCCTTTCTTTATACTCCCTTCTCAATAGTGCTGTGTGCGGGATACGTTCTGACAAGCTGCTCTACTTGTGACAGGCCCAGCCATTCTGATCTCTCTTGTATGGGTCAGCAGGTTTTACAAAGAAATGTAAATGGAAGTGCATACCATATCTCGGAACTCAAGTTTGGCTCCAGCTTCCACTAGCTTTTCCACCAGCATAAGATGTCCTTCTGAGCATGCCCTGTGCAATGCAGTGCGTTGGTACTGTTGATTAAAATAGTGATAAATCAAATATACTGTGTGGCACAAAGATTTGTGCTATTTTTTTCCATCTTGTACCCTGGGATGAGAACAAACACATTTTATGCTGATTCATTTTTGAGTGTGTATGCTTTTGAGATCTTAAAGCTGCCAGATTTTAATAGCAACTTAGTAGATGAGAACTGCCTATCCAGCACATTTTAAGGGGCATGAGTAATGGCTACAATGTGGCATTCAAATTAAAAACCTGAATCTCTTGAATTCCCAAGTCCATGTTATACTATGTTGCAAATACACTATACCCTACTTAAAAGCGTAAGGGATCAGATAGTCCCTTCCTATCTGAGAATGTGGCAGAGTCAGCTATCCAGATAAAGCTGTGCTTTTTAAGACCGAAAGAATCCAGTTTTCATAATTGTGCAGACAGGCTTCTGAGTTGTAGCTCATTGTCATGGAATCCTGCAGCAATGAAGGGCCTTTAGCCAAAGGAAATCAGGGTTTTCTGATTGCTATCATGTTTCCAATAAATATACAGACTTTCCTAGGTAAATATATACCAGGGTGGACAAATACTGGCCTGTGGGCCAGATCTGGTTTCGGAGGGTTAGCCCCTTGTGGGCTGCTGCCATTATATTTACCTGCACCTCCACAGGTATGGGCAATTGAAGCTCCTGCTGGCCATGTATTGCTGTTCCTGGCCAATGAAAGCTGTGGGAGGTGGTGTCCCAGGCCACGCGTCTTCCTGCAGCTCTCATTGCACGGAACAGCTGACCGTGGCCAACAGGAGCTGCAGTTGGCCGTACCTGCAGAGGTGCAAGTAAATATAGCTGTGGGTGCCCCGCCAAGGGCTAACCATGGTGGACCACTGCCATTTTATTACTCACCCTGATATATACTTAAATATATACTTTGTTCCCAAAGGTCTCTTTAAAGCAAGAAAACTTAAGTTGTAGTTTTCTATAGTTTACGCTCTTTCTTTTATGCTGCAGGAGGATAAGAAAGGTTACAAAATGTAGTGGAAATTGGAATTTTGTCTAACTACACCCTGCAATCTCTTGCTGCTGTGTTTCTGAAGTAATAAGAATACAAGTTGTACCTTATCACAAGCATCTGGGTCTCCTTTGTCTGACAGGTATTTTTCAATAACTGGTAATTTATTCTCCAGTGCAGCTTTTAAAAATGTAGGTACATCCACAGGTCCTGTCTGATAGAGACAAATGTACAGAATATAAATGTCACAGCTGTATACCGTTCCAGAAAACCAATAAAGTCTTTCATAAAAGAATGTGCTTCCTAAAAGCAGAACTTACAATAACTTCTGGTTCAGGTTCCTTTAAAACAGGCACTTTCACTTTTATGCATTTTTTCCGTTTTTTCAGCTGAATAATTTTTTCAAGATCTTGCAAGTTTTCAAGTTTTGGTCTTTCCTCTAGCTTTTTCTTCTTGAGCTGAATGAAGTAAGCAAATTATAAGACTCGAGTCCACAGGGAATACAAAACTCTTTTCCTTTCAGCATGGCAATGCAGTGTATACTAGTCACCTAACTAAATTTAGTCAAGTCACTTAATTCAAATTGGAAATAAGATGCCAATGTTTAATGGTATAGGATAATTAACCACTGGAATGGGTAGCTAAAAGATGTAGCTAATACTCCATCACTTGTAGCCTTTAAGTTAGATTGACTCTTTCTAAAAACTATGACCTTTCATTAGAGCCCAGCTTAGATACAAAATTTGTATCCATATCCAATTTGATAAGGTAAACCGCAAATATAAGATGAATAACTGCAGATTTGCAGGGCTCTAGATATAACATTTTGAACTGTATCCATCCAGGATCTACAACTATCTGCAGATTTGCAGGGCTCTACATTCAATCAATTTGTTGTGATAGGTACTGGAATCACAGAGTGACATACTACAGCATCTGTAATACAAGGTGTCTCAGTTTATCATAATGGTCTCTTCTAACCTTACAAATCTATAAAACTTGTGAATTGTGATGGCTATACTGATGCTATGGCTAGCAGAAGTATCTACAAGTAATTTTTGCATCTGTGTTTCCTTGAGTCCTGTTCAACTCATCTAATTTCTTCCTTAAAAACCCATACCGCATGTCATAGTTCATAGATTTGCACAAGCTATGAAGGAAGAACTTTGTTTTTCCTCTTTATAGCATAAAATTCCACTTTCTGCATATTGAATCATTGCCCGTGGAATTTTATAGTCAACTAGAGATGCTGAGCACATGTAACTCCTATTGAATTCAAATGCAAATGCACTGTCTCCAGAATCTTTCAGGATGTGGCTGTTTCCCCCCCTGCATTATTGTGTGGATGATGGCTTTAGCTTCAGGAAAATATGCCTTTAAATGAACCCAGGATTCCATTGACCTGTGGTTTCATTCAATATTGTTACACTGCAGTAATCTATATTACTGTCCTTAAGAAGAGGTGCTAGTAAATGTGTAAGACCTAACTCAGATGTGGTGAAAAAAGGGTGTAGCTACACTGAAGTCACTATAGTTGCACCTGCTTACAAGTATTAATTTGGCCCCTAATGACTGATCTAACTAATCAAGAGCCTGGTTCACCCACTTTTACCTATAGGCTGTGTCTAGACTGGCAAGTTTTTCCGCAAAATCATCTGCTTTTGCGGAAAAACTTGCCAGCTGTCTACACTGGCCGCTTGAATTTCCACAGAAGCACTGATGATCTCGTGTAAGATTGTCAGTGCTTTTGCGGAAATACTATGCTGCTCCCGTTCGGGCAAAAGTCTTTTTCCTAAAAACTTTTGCGCAAAAGGGCCAGTGTAGACAGCAGAGATTTGCTTTCCGCAAAAAAGTCCCGATCATGAAAATGGCGATCGGGGTTTTTTTGCGGAAAAGTGCGTCTAGATTGGCCATGGACGCTTTTCCGCAAAAAGTGCTTTTGCAGAAAAGCGTCCTGCCAATGTAGCTTTTCTGTTAAAAGCATTTCTGGAAAATCATGCCAGTGTAGACGTAGCCATATTGTGTAGTTCTCCTGACTTCAGTAGGACCACTTAACAGAGCACAGTGCTTGTGAGAGAGGGCTGGGAGCATGTGAGCCAGCCCTCTGATCACTTAAACATCAGCCAGCTGCCTTGAGAAGACTAACTGAGGAGGTGTAAGTAATTAGCAGATCAGGTTGGGAGGCTGGATGAACTAATCATACCCCTTTGCTGATATACTAAGAAGGTCACAGGAAGTCAGTGCTGAGGTTACAGAAGAAGTAAGCAGGACTATCTGACCCTAGTGATCTCAAGAAAGGATGTCTCTCACAGTGCCACAAGAAAGAGCTGAAGGTAGAGATTTATTGTAGGAAATGTTGCTGCATGGGACTATGTGGGTGTTGGGGAAGTGGAATGTAAATAAATCATGCAAAGTTGCTACTCAGTTGGGGTATGGCTACACTAGCCACCCTAGTTCAAACTAGGGTGGCTAATTTAGTCATTTGAACTTGCAAATGAAGCCTGGGATTTAAATATCCCGGGCTTCATTTGCATCTTCCCAGGCGCTACCATTTTTAAATGCCTGGTAGCTCGATCTACCTGCCTGCGGCTGGCTACACGTGGCACGGGCTTGGTAGTTCGAATTAACACTCTTAATTCGAACTACCGTTACTTCTCCTGCAATGAGGAGTAACGGTAGTTCAAATTAAGAGTGTTAATTCGAACTACCTAGCCTGTGCCACGGGCAGGTAGTTCGAGCAACCGGGCATTTGAAAATGGCGGTGCCCAGGAACATGCAAATGAAGCCCGGGATATTGAAATCCCAGGCTTCATTTTCAAGTTCAAATGACTACATTAGCCAGCCTAGTTCAAATTAGGGTGGCTAGTGTAGCCATACCCTGGAAAGCCTGAGCGATTCCTAGGGCATGCCCTGTTATAGTGCTACATGAGAAGGAAAGGTGGTAGAATCTGGCTGTAATTAGCCATACCCTGGAAAGCCTGAGCGATTCCTAGGGCATGCCCTGTTATAGTGCTACATGAGAAGGAAAGGTGGTAGAATCTGGCTGTAATTAACTAAAAATGTAAAATGGCTGGGTAAGCAGATACTTCATGTCTTCTTTTAAAGGGAATTTAACCACGTAGCTTCAAGTTCCCTTATTTTGAATGTGCTGTGCCATAAGGGTCTTATCCAAAGCCCCTTTGAATCACTGGAAAATCAATCGCTGACTTCATGGTTAATAAGCATGTCATGTTCTTGAAAGAAACCCCATTAGTAATAGGAGACTAAGGGATAAGACTTAGTTATTAATGCCTGGCTGGGGAATAGTGTGATGGTGTCTTTTGAGAAACAGGGATGGTCTAATGCAGTGGTCCTCAACCTTTTTTCATTTGTGATCCCCAGAGCTGGGGAAATTTTTGTTGGAGCCAAAAAAAAAACGTGCCAGAAACATTTTGTTGTTTTGGTCCTTTAACTTAATGCGCTGGTCCACTCCCTCACCCCCACCATGTGTACGTTGAGCCGGGAAAAGAAAATGCCAGCCAGCCACTGTGGACCTTCCCCCCCCTCCCCCCAGGAACCGCTGGTCTAGTGGATGGGGACAATGGTTATCTTTATGAATGGGAGACTTTTTCCCATGTATGCCACTCCTAACATACTGTACAGCTGGTACCTTTTGGACAGCAAAGATTCCTAGTTCTTAAGTTAGAAATTGCAAATGAATAGACCTTCAGAAGCAGCTTTACAGTATTACTGGCATGATGCAAAGTCCATTGAAGTCCATGGGATCCTTTCCTCTGACTTCAGTGGACTTAGATGGGGCCCTCTGTCCTTCTCACTGGGCTGTGAGATGCAAAGATTTTACTGCTTAAACTATTTCAAGCGCAGGAAAATCATGCAGCATTTTAGGGGCTACACCCATATATCAGCCCCACGATGAGAAAAAATGAACACAAAACTAAAGAGCTTACTTCTGCCTGCAGTTTTTTCTCCTTTTCATGGGTCTCATTTGCTCGAGCCAGGGAGTGTTCAGGGAGTGTCTTAAGGTCCTCTTGTTTCTCTAATTGTACAACAGTTTCGTACTCTCCATTTTTGAAGTCATCTGGAAGGAAATCTCCAGTCTCTTTACTGTCACTCTTCTTCCCTGTCACCTGTGAAAGAAAACATGGTGCTTCAATCCCAAAATATTGAATTTCAAGTACCCACCTAATGGGAGCACTTAGTAACTGGTAGCCAGATGCAGTGTTTAAAAAAAGATAAAATTTGACATGTAAGAGGGTGTGTGTGTGTGTGAGAGAGAGACACACACACACACACAGGGACCAATGCTTACTCATGCTCTGCAACAGGGTTAACTTTATGACAATGGTTGCTGCAACTTCATGAAAGGTCTGATCCAACACTGTTGAAGTTGATGGAGAAATTGCTGTCAATGGATATGGAGTAGGTCCTGTAGCAGCCAGAGTAGAAAGGTCTGATCCAACACTGTTGAAGTCAATGGAGAAATTGCTGTCAATGGATATTGGAGTAGGTCCTGTAGCAGCCAGTGTGAATTATACATTTCTGAGTCTCCATTCTGATTGGCTGGGTCTTTGGTTGCTGCTATAACCAAAGTGTCTGACTACAAAGCCAGCCTCTCTTTGTCTGTTTTCCCATTAATTTCTATCCTGTGTAACATTAGAAAGTCATAGAAGGTACAGGTGGAATGACCAATTAAAGCCACCTTCACCACTTCTTGTCCGTGCAAAATCAGTACTTATTACTTACAAGCATAAGTAATGTGTAATAGTGTGCAGACATAGCTAAAGATTCACACTTAGTCTTTGTGAGCTTGTGGTCTTAATTCAGACATGTACAATAGAGTTAAAACAAGTGTGATATATAGGCTGAGAGCCTCGGTGAGCTTGTGGTCTTAATTCAGACATGTACAAAAGAGTTAAAACAGGTGTGATATATAGGATGAGATCCTCTATTCAGCCACTGAAGTCAATGATAAAGTTCCCATTGATTGCAATATTGTGGGTAATAACGGCAGGTAGCCTATACACAGCAGGTGGTGTTCCTATGCCACAACAAAAATAAGAACAGTCTTTTTGAAAGTTTCCTATGATTGCTGAAACGCCTTCAAAATGTGTGTGTTGGGATTTATTTCACTAACATGAACTGGAATGGTTTTGCAATCAAACACTGTCACACAATTTTATTTGGAGAATTTAGCAGTGCAAAAATTAGAGGGACCTTGCCACAGAATTTAATGCCAGCTATGCGGTACAGCAGTTCTGTCTTAAAGTAGTCCTCTGGGAGGAAACGGAGTTTCCTAATAACATCCCAATGTTCCTCTAGGTTTGACCACTAAACTGAGCAAACATGACAAATGACGTTTTTATATTAGGCTGCATACTACAGAGTCAATATTCAAGCTGATTCTGTTTTGGCCGTTATCTTTCAAAAACCTACTTAAACCATGAAAAACAGTTTTATAGGCATTTTTGTGAGCACTTTTACTTTGTTTCCTTTGCATTTTTAATATTATTCAAGCTGATTCTGTTTTGGCCGTTTTCTTTCAAAAACCTACTTAAACCATGATAAACAGTTTTATAAGCATTTTTGTGAGCACTTTTACTTTATATTAAAAATGCAAAGGAAACAGTCTTGAAGTGGGCTGTGCCCACGAAAGCTCATGATACCATCTACATGCTTTGTTAGTCTTTGAAGTGCTACCAGATGATTTATTTGTTTTAAGTTTATCCTGTACAGACTAACTCAGCTGCCCCCTGAAGTCTTGCTTATGTAATCTAGACTAGTGACTCTCAACCTTTCCAGATTATAGTACCCCATGCATGAGTCTGATTTGTTGTGCCTACCCCAAGTTTCGTCTCCCTAAACTACTTGCTTACAAAATCAGATCTAATATACATATCACAGCACTCACTGAAAAATTGCTTCCTTTTTTACCATACAATTATAAAATAATTGGAATACACTATTGTACTTACTTTTCAATGTATAGTATATAAATCAGTATAAACAAATCATTGTATGAAATGTTAGTTTGTACTGACTTTGCTAGTGCTTTTTGTGTAGACTGTTGTAGAACCCTAGGCAAATACTCAGATGAGTTGATGTACCACTTGGAAGACTTTTGCCTACCCCCAGTGGTACATGTATCCCTGGTTGAGAACCACTGATCTAGACTTCCTTCTGCTCTTACTGAGTCTACACTTTTTTAAAATAATGATTTGCAGTTCCATACAAATACAGCAACTAGGCAAAATGTATACAACAAATGCCAAGCTACACCATTCCTTCTGGTGAGTCATCTTCCAATACAAAACCCAGTTGTTCACCATGTAATGTTATAAAGTAAACACAAACCTCAAGGAAAAACTAAAACAAGCTCCTCCCCACCTAATGTGGCATAATAAATATTATGTACCTAGAATATCACAGTGGTAGTTGTCCTTTTTAAATACCTGTAATAAGAAGACACTCACTGATTAGTGACCATGAAAATCCTGAGATTACAATAATCATGAGTGGAAAAATAGCTTATACCTACCAGCTCCTCTACTTTCAGCATCATCATGTTTTGCTGATTTGGTTGTAAGTTGTACTCCTTTATGATTGAAATCCCCTAGTGCTCAATTCAGCTCTGCTGAGACTCACCAAGACTGCTTAGCTTATATATCTTTGGGAGACTGAGTGAGATAATCTTCCAACCTGGGAATCCAAGTACATCTCTAACCCTGCCAGCTCAGAGGTAGATGCATTCTCATTCCACATGTGTTAACTAGCCAGACCTAGTGTCGGGGTCAGGATAGGGTGGGGATGTTCTGAGGGAGAGGGTTAGGCTTACAGTCTAACCACACCGACTGTGTGTCTCATTTTGCACTGTGAGCTCATCATTCCATTGGCAATGACTAAATCGCTCAGCAATGCTAATCATTCTGTCTATCCAGTGCCCACTAGGACAGCTGTCTGTTGATATTGCTTTTCCCCCAACCCCCTGACTTTCAGACTTCTAGGAGGCATTGGAAAGGGTAAGTGATCCATGGGCAGCACTTGTAGTAACAGTTTTTTCCGATTAGTGGACTGACAGACCCTTAAATCTTGGGAAGCCATTTTTTATTATGCTTTATTCCTGGTCTGTAAACAGTCTTTTAGAAGAAAAGATTCATCTTCGCATGATGACACCCTTCTATATTTGTTGGAAGGAATTCTCTAAAGGGATTACTAAGCCAGAATGATGTCTCTGGTGCTAAAAAGGCCTATGACATGTTAAGTGTAAGATGTCAAAAACAGACAGGCCTGCATTTTCCCTGGAAGTTGTCACTGATTATAAAGAGAATAATAACTTATGACCTGTTACTGTAAAACAAGTAAAATAGCTGCTTTTGAAAGCAATATTCTCCTTTAGAATCTCAGGGAATATGGATGCAAAAATGACCCACTTTGCGAGTGGACTTGGCTGATATGTATTAAATGGGGAGCGAGTTATGGGCATAAGCAACTTTTCAGATAATTACAATATAGTGGACATGCTTCTCAGCATTGACCAAAGTGGGTTTATACTAATTAACACCTGCAGGGAATCTGGCCCTGTGTCTTAAACCTATTAACCTTCACATTTCAAATACAAGGAGAAATCTGATTTGGCACTTCCAAATGCCTACATCCTCAGTTCCGCAAAGCCCATGCTTACCTTTAAGAATGTAAGTCACAAGCTGGATAAGTCAGGTGCTTAACACTGAGAATGGACTTCAGGGCTTTGCTGGATCAGGGACTAGTGACTGGGCTGTTGAGTAAAACTGTGTTTGTAATGCTGACCTTTCAAGATCCCTGTCCTCCCCTGATCTACCCACCAGTAATTTTGAGTATTTCTAAACATGTCTACTAGTCCCCAACATTCCTACCCTCTGCCCTCCCTTTCCCTGAAATGAATCTGTACATAAAGTGGTTTCTTCACTACTCAAACAATGTGAAACATGGGAGGGTGAGCCCCAGAACTAAAATAGTGTTTGGATAGCTAGAGAGCCTTTCTGCATCTCCCCTCCCAAACTCTAATGCTTCCTAGTTCATCATCCAAAACAGTTGTGTTGTATGTTGAACTTTGAAAGCCGGTTAAAAGGCATCGATGTTCCTCCTGTACATGATCTAGAAAAGCAGCTGATTCTGGCTTGGCTTGGCCTTGTTTGTAAATTAACCATAAAAGGGGCTCTCAAACCCTTTCACAGATCTGGTGTACACTTTAACATTTAGATTGACATAGCTATGTCACTTGGGGACATGAAAAACAAAACCTGAGGACTGAAGCTATGCTAGTGTAACCCCTGGGTCTGGTTAAACCCTGATATAAGCAGGATGTAGCTGCAGCTAGGTTTATTGGGAGGAAAATGCTTCCATCAACAAAGCCACCTCCTATATCAACAGGAAAAACCTGCCATGTAGGCAGAGTGTGCACTACAATACTAAAGCAGCATAGCTACAGTGCCCTACTGTGTCACTGCCACACCATATAGTCTAGACGTGGTCATAGTATGGTCATTTCTTGTTAGTGTCTTATGGACTCCTTGCTTACAGTTGCTTGGACCACACCTGGTTCAGCGGAAGCAGCTTACAGCCACAAGACTGATGCGGGAAGGAAAATACAAGTGCTTAGCAGAATGGCTTAGAAATTATTTAAGAAGCTGAAAACTCATTGTTACTGCTTTAGTTGAAGCTTGTCTTTGTTTTTTAAATGTATTTTACTTTTTTGGGGAGGGGGCTTCATATATGAAAGAAGGTCAGCAAAATCCTAAATTAAAGGAACAAAGGAGATGGAATTTTCTCTGCAACTGATTCACAAATCTGAAATGCAGATTAGGTTCTCACAAATCCTCATGCTTTCAGGGAATATGTAAAATCATCTTCTTCTCTGACCCATTCTTCCCACAGTAACATCACAACAAATAAATCCGTCCAGACCCTGATTACTGCTGTTTGAGCACCTTCAACAGTATAAGTGAAGTAAATGGTGACACCTAGAAACCTAGGTTGACCCAGACTAAAATCTGAATTGAATTGGTGCTAAATGATTGAAGCAAGATCCCTTTTCTGATGTAAATTAGTGGAGTGCCATTTAAATCAACAGACTTACCTAATTTACACCAGCTGAGAACCTAGCCCAAATTCTCAGCACCATCACCTGATAGTAGAAGCTGAGGTAGTGGTGTAAATACCCATTAGCTTGTTCTCTTCTCCTAGAATAGTAACTGAGTACTCACCTTTCAACAGCTGTATTAGTTACATCTCTTAAGGTAATAATAGAAGAAGTGGTAGATTTGTGCCATGGAATTCTAAAACATACATGGCAACCTGCTAAAGGTTAAGGGCGAAGCAAAGGTCTGCAAAACATAAGATTGTGATTAAAACATAAGATTGTGATTGTAAAGGATGACAAGCTGTATATGATATTGAAGTGTCTGTATTGCATACCTGATATCCTACTAGCCAACCAAACTTCTGGAGTATTATTGGAAAGAATTATTGTTTAAAATGACTAAATAGCCTGTGAAAAACTTGCACAACATAGATGGTATTTCCACTTCCTATGAAGTTCACCATCATGTTTTTTATGCTGTCATCACTCTGCTTAACTATCTTAAATTATAAATACCTTTGCTCTGCCCTTGGCTTCTAGGAGGTTACATGTGTTCATTAGAATGCCATTGTGCATGGTTGTCACTGTCCATCTGCTACTACTAAATAAGTATATGTATGAAAAATCAGTTACTGAAAAGCAATTACTTGCTTAACAGGGCACTAATCCAGCATGAGTGAACAAATCATGATTTAATATTCCTATTTGTGTAGATGATTATATACATACACAACTAGGAACAGTAAGCCATAATTGATTCATTCATGTGGGAATGAATCGCCTATCAAGTGAATAATTATAGCTTACTTCTTTGTGTATGAATGTATAATACATACACACATGTAAAAAGTTTAATTACAACATACCGTGTTTAACTTGTTTTTGTGATTTCTTTTCCTTATCAACTACTTCTTTCCCCATAAAGGAAGAGAGAGAATTATTTCTCTGCCTAATAAACTCTCTGGCATTTCTTGCCCATGAAGGAGCGATGTTGCTGCAAATATATGCTAGCAGAATTCTATAGCTTCTGTCCTAGTTTAGTCAACACATTAAGACAGGCGTTCTATATATTTTCTTAATCTGTTAAAACACATTTAGTGCTGCATGTAGATAGAAGGCTGTTAATGGAAATCATATTGGCAGTGGCATAGGGAGGAAGAGGCAGGGAGGGGAGTAGTTGCCCTCAGACAGCACACTGGGGTGAGGGAGAGCACCAGTTTAGTCCCTCTCCACTCCCCCTGTCATCCCTCAGTTTGCCTGCTCCTCCTCCACCCGCCACTGCTGGCTAGAGCCTCCTCCCTGTCTCTCCACCCCCAGCTTGACTCTCCTCCGTCTCCGCTGGTGGATTAGTGTGTGCGGGGGCCCGGCCCCAAACTGGAGGAGGTGGGGGAGACACAGTGCAAGCTTCCCCCCCACCATTCCTCCCGGGGTTGGTCTCAGCCATGTGGCAAGTAAAGGGCCCTGGCAGCAGGGAAGGAGGGTTACACAAATTTTTCCTTTGCTCCCAAGTGCATAACGCCCTCGCTACACCTCTGTATATTCCTCTGTATGTTGTCTCACTACGAATAACAACCTATGCCATTCAGTATCCTGAGTGAAAGCTATTACTTTAAATTAAAAAATTATGTATAGTAAATTATTAAACTAATGATGTCTGTGGATCCCATTTGTTGTGAACAATTTTTATAAAAGAGATGCTGACATCTCATAGTCTGACAGGTGTTTGTTGTCAGAACCCAAAATAGAAATGAGTCAGCGGTTGCATCATTACAATGACATTTTAAAGAGAACTTGTTCAGGACTTGGAACTGTTGTTTGGTTTGGTTTGGTTTGTTTGTTTGTTAGTTACAATATTTTTACCATTATTATTTATTATGGCCAAAACTTGGAATTTAAATTATTTCAGCTCTTGTGTTTTCTTGCGGTACTATTCTTGCAATTCAGTGAAACTGGCTAATTCGTATCAAGCAATCAAAGTTACCAAACAGATAGTGAAGCAAACAAAGAGTTATACGGTCCATGGAGAGTAGGAAGACATTTTTTGTCCACAGTTGCACTTGTTAATCCTTAGTACAAGCCAACAAGACTCTATTTCCTGTACTTCTGCTAGATGGTCTGTAGAGCACCTCTTTAGCTGAATTTTTGTCTCCTTTATACAGTACATTGCAGGCAGTTAATGGAACTATACCAATTTCCAGCAGCTTAAGTTCTGCTATATGCTATCTTCAGACCTATAACAAATATTTCTACCTCAGTTACATTTGCATGACTATTATGCAGCCTAGATGCCAGGAAATTTAGGCCAGGGGAGTTAGAGCTATTGTGTTTTAAGAGTATGAGGGAGTTTGAAAAGCGCAATGAGTTTAATTCTTAGCAAACCATCAGTGTGTGCCAGCCTCTCTTAGTGAAAACAGTAACACCATATGCTTTTAAAAAAAAAAAAAAAAAAAAAAAAAAAAAAAAACCACCCTACTGTCTGTATCTAACAAATGTCTACTTTTTTTAAATTTATTGATGTCAAAATTCAAATTTGCAAATCTTCTTCCTAGTACACTTTCTGAATCGTTACTTTTTTCTCTGAAATGAGTTTCATTGGCAGTGAGATGATGATGATGGTTTTTCATGTAAGCTATTTTTTTTAAAGTATCTATTGTGATTGTCATAGCAACAATGTGGGGTGGGGAGAGGAAGGAAGCCTTGATATAACTTTGGAATTACCTCATATCCAATTATATATGACATCCACTTCAGACAAAAGTATTTCTATGACTACAAACAGAGGAAAAATAACTTTTTTTTTTCTTTTTATTCAACTTTTTAAAAGCAGAGTAGATATTTTTAAAAATGCAATTTTAGTTTTCTAAAATTAAAAGTTTGTAAAAGATCCTTCGTTTTTAATTTACAGTTCCAAAATGAAGGCAAAACCTGTGCTGGGTTGGCCTGAAAAAATGTGTTCTTAAAGTTTTAAAAAGGATTGTCTGTTGGTATGGTAGGTGCTTTCTGTATTTTAATTTTGTTTCAGGCAAGAGTGCGGGGAAAGACTGAGAGATGGGTGGAAGATGAATGGCACATGACTTCATTTCTCCAGGCTTGTAAGCTACCTGGCTTGATCTGGGAGCAACT